ATATTGATTGGAGAGAGGCAGTTTGGGCCACTGGAAAACATGTACAAGGTGAATGACATCAATGAGTGGTATGTGACCAAAATGACTGTGATCGATGAGTACACGAAGATGGTGGCATGTTTCTTGTACTGCAATTGTAGGGCAGATGTGGTTGAATTTGATGGATTTGGGTATCCATTTCTGGTTTCATTGGTGAACAAGAAGACACTGCCACTTTTGAGCAAGAAGATTCAAGATGTGTTTGGAATGGAGGGAATCAATGGGCCATTTATAGCTGAATTGTGCAAATACAGGAGCAAATTGGAGGAATCAGATGTAGGATTATACGCAGATTACTTCAATGTGAAAGGTGGATTATATGATAAGGAAATAGAAAAGATACTGAATGCTGAATAATATGAGAGGTTAAATGAGTTAGACTATATCACTTCTTTACTATACAGACTTCTTATATTCAATACCTGGGGAGAATTACCGTTAAAGATTAATGGAAGTGGTAGGACACGTAGCTCTTTTACCACTGTTACCATAACGGTTAAATTGTATTCAACTACTAGATTAGATGTAACACAGACAGTCATGTCAACACATTCCACAACCATCTTCTTTCTAATGACATACGTATCTTCTATTTTTGTTGTTCTTACTCATTCTTCTAAATCAGGGTCATGTTATTTTATGCACAGTGTTTATTTACTATTGCTTTAAATAAATTCAAAATAAACAACCCATGGTTAAGGAACTACCACCGCGCAAGCACAACAAGATCGTAACATGGGCCGATCCGATTGCTGAGACCAGGTTGTTTGTGAAAGAACCGTCATCTGAAGACATGCGTGACATACCCGAGGACAGCGAGTATTATGCATATGATGACAGTGAGGAATATGACGTGTTAGAAAATGGAGGGATGGACCAGGGTTCAGGGGTGGCCCAGGTTACTAAGGAAATTGTTCAGGAAGAAGAGGAGCAGAATATTGATCAGGAGGCAGAAGAGGCATTTAATGAGAGCAATCTTGCACTCTACTACGTGCTCATAAAAAACAGAGTTCAACTCAAAGTTCTCGAACAGAATCTTGATGAGACCAAAGAGAGTCTCAGAACGGCACTTGTTGCACATGATGAACTAAAAGCAGATATTGACAAGAAGAACATGTTGCTGAAAGAGTGAACTGCAGAATCAGAGAGAAACAGATTGATGTACGTGAAAGCATATGAAACAGTATCTGAACTTACGAAATATATTCAGGTGAGAGAGCTGGCCAAAGCCGAGGACAGGGTGAATCCCGGCATGTCAAATGAGCCAGTGACTCCTCCTAAGAAAAGTATGTCAGAAAGAACAAAAAAGAAGATCAAATATTACATCACAAAGGCGATTAAGAAATGTGGTACAAAACCAGTCCGTGTTACCATACATAGGCGAAATAAGGCGCCTTGTGTGCTGATGCTAACACGAAATGAAGAAAACAAGATACAAACGCAGGTGATACAATCATGTTAATCACATCCCCAAATACCCCAACACCCCTCTATTCCATTAAACTGTCCAGATTTATCTGAAATATTTTGATTATTACTTGAATATTTCATCCTTTCACATAATTATACCCTACAATACTATTTTATTTACAATTTATCCACAGAAGTCTCCTAAAATGCATCCAAAGTATCTTCTAAACCACGACCTATTTTCTGGCTGTGGTACTCTCTGAGATCTATCCAAAATATTCTCTGATATTATGTTACCATCTGATGAAGTAATTACTATTTTCCTAGTCTTATTCTCCACTGCCCATGTTTTGATATGCGTCTCTTTTGATTGTTCAATTATTTCATTCTCACCTGAAATTCTTTCTGATCCAACATATGAAGATGACTCTGTATTTTGATCAATGGATTTGTTGCCCACATTCAAATCCATTGATTCTTTCACTGTTTCTGGTTTATCACCTGATACATCCACCTTTGTACCAAATGATTCCACAACAGTCGTATTATCAATATTAAATATTTTGTCGAATTCAGTTGCCGAATATGAATTGGATTCGTGTTCTGAGACACATTTCAAATCAACTTGTTCAGGTTCCACCACATTTTCAACAGTGTTTGTTTCACAGCTTTCATTGGATTTGCTACTGTCGCCCATTACAGTAACATTCTCAACAGCCGTTACGATTTCACTAATTCCACTACCATCAGAAATAGCAAATTGAATACTGCTACTACCGGATTCAAGAGTATCACTCTCCTTATCACTATTCTTTGCAGCTACTTCTTCAGCCAAATCACTAATATCAGTTGTTCCAAAACTATCAGAAACACCAAGGTTAATACTTAGTTGAGAATCACTAGACTCAGTAACAGTACTCTCCTTCACACTGCTACTAATGTGATCATTGCATATATCACTGACTACCTCTCTATAGTCAGTTGATGTCAGGTGTGACTGATCTGTATCATCCCCCTGTAATTCCACTTTCATCTCAGACTGAGTGAGTTCAATCCCAGGGTATGAACTTTTTATCCCTCCTTCTTCTGACTCATGCGCAGTAAACTCTGCTTTGATGCCGCTAAAGAACTCGATTAATCGTCCTACACGTCCCTTTTCACACAGACTCGGGTCATCCAAGTGCACCTCAACACTGTCACGTTCCAAACTCTCCTCACTCCTGGAATGCTCTACCGTCTTCTTGTTCTGACTCGATGAGCTCGCTGGAATGTAACTGAAACACATGGGGGTATCTTTTTCGTTTATTTATATACTACTTATCGCATAATATCATGCATGGAGATGTTTTATGATACTATTTACCTGAAAATATTTTAATATTTGATAAGGGTATTAAAAGAGTATTTAGGTGCTTGAAGTGGGTGTGAATGTGCTGAATACAGTAGCAATGATGTGATATATAGACACTTGTATACATAAAAGCATATTTGTAAAGTATTGGAGAGATAAGAATGCAACCTGGTAATGAGAATTATACGGTTGTAATGTGCTGAAAACAGCTATACATACTTAAAATGGTAATGTGATGGACTATCTACTGTTATTTCTCTCTCTATTTTCTATACGAACAAAATTGCTATGGACCTTTTCAAAACAAACTATTTTTGCCTAATTTGGTAACTTATGTAAAATTGCGTCAGGATGTAAATAAATAACATGTGTTTGTGCAATAAATCTCGTATAAACACTACTTATCATGTATTTGCTTCGATATTCACCATACTTGCACTAATATGGTCAATTCAATACCTTGTGTTTTATTGTTCAACCGCAACTCGACTACTTATACGATGTTTTTATCATGTATTTGTGTCAATTCACTGTTTCTATTGCATTTTCCATGCTTCATTAATGTTCAGTAAACATACCCCCTGATAAAAAGTGTTTGGCTCATTTCACCATGATCGTACGAGATTATGCATGACCACTGATGCCAATAGCTTAGTTTGATAGTTTAGTATGCTGATCAGTAGATAGATGCAAAATATATACTCAAAAGTTAACTATCAATCATATGAAAATCTGTGAATGACAGATAAATCAAATATTGAGATGTCAAAGAATAAAGACAAGGAAAACTTAACATTGCACTTAATACACGATAAGATGCTATAACAAGAGTATTCTAAGGTGGATATAGAATCCAACAGTAGTGAAATATATTCAGGGTATCTTAACAGCTGAACATATGCAAATCTAGAACATGTGAAGAGGAAGCAATATGACTAAGTAGTATCATCCATATGAATATGCATTATTCAATATCCTTAGAATATTGACATTTTGATTGGTTGTGGGAATAAGAAATGGCCAAAGAGAGATTTGGTGTGTAGATAGAAAGAATCCATGTGTATCCTAATGGTTATTTTAATAACGGCGAACTAACACGAATAATCAGGGAGTATTGGATGGGTATGCGTCTGTATTGGATCATATTATTGGCAAAACCAATAGTAAAAGAAACGAATCCATCAGAGGATAACAAGAACAGTGTGAAGACTAACGAAGAGAACAAACCAGATCAAGGTTCAAAACAAACGGATGAGCAGAAACCAAGGAAAAAAGTTAAAAGGAAAAATAGTATGTATTGTTGTGCACAACCAAACTTTTCAGAACAAAGTAACATCGATGCTAAAGACTAAAAACATGTTTTAGCAGGGGTTTTTCCTGGTCAAGTGTGCAAATTTTGCAAAACTAATACACTCTGTTGCAAAAGTTTGTGGACAGCCATAAACTTCTTGATATACTCTCTTTTACGGCTCTTATGCTACGCGATACACTTTTTACGTTGCTCTTTGCTGTTTCTTTTTATCTGAACTCAAATGGTTTGATGGTTGAACAGATAGGGACTAATTTCCAAAAATGATTTAAATTCTTGTTGCAAAAATTTGTGGACAACGCTACAACAGCAATATTAATAAGCGGGCACAAAATTCCATGCTTATTTTAATGTTTAACGTGTCTAAAAACCTATCAGGTGGAAAAGCATTTCTAAA